GTGCCTAGTAGCCCTTTGGATCCAAACAGCACACAGAATCAAAGAGCACACAGAATCAAAGTCCTCTCTTTCAGAACCTCTTCACTTCATCCCCAAACCTCTTCACCACCAAGTGGCTCACGAGAGCCAAGATCCGCACCGCATCGGCCGGGCCTCCACACAGCCAGCCGAAAAGGGTCAACCAATCCAACACCGGAGGGTCCCCCACGGAATTTTCACCATCTAAGGCATGGGACACACCGATCTGTCCCACAGTCATTTTCTAAGGAAGGTGTCCGACCATTTGTCAGTCTTGTGGCCCAGGGTCCATGGTGAACCATCCATGGGCACCGTTTGGACCGCCGACGGATGAAGTCGTCCACCCGCTGGTCCCAAACGAAAGGGGGCGTCGTTGCGAAAAGCGCAGGTTCTGAAGTGATGGACTGTGGCAACGTCCACATCTGTACGTCTCGCTGACGTCCTTTGCAAATGTTTGCAGTTCAAAGACCTACTATTGTATAGTAGCTTCTTGTTACTACAGGTGAAACGATTCCCAGTGAAGCGATTAGTCATTGTCACTTCCAAGAAAATGACGGAGATATCGGAGACATCCCAGAGGAGTGAGAAATGAAGGTGGATGTCCCATCTTCAGAGAGTTGTGAGACGTGTCCATCCAATATAAAGCTCTTGATACCAGGTCATCCAATGGTCATCCAATGGTCATCATGGCTCATGTCTTCCTCGGATCTTCTCCAAGTCCAGTTCTGTCCTCGTGGCCAGTGGCCCGTGGCCCCTGTTCCTGCCTGGGATCGCCTCGGGCGTGCTTCTAAGATATCCTCGGATCGCCACCAAACCAAACTACAAGAATGGATGAGTTGAGTCATGTTGAGTCTGCGTTGAACCTCTAAAACCAAATGTTCAGAATTCAGAACCCCCTTAATTGTGTTGAGTCTGCGTGTGGTACAGTTGAATTTGTACGTCAGTCTCTATCTCTCTCTCTCTCTCTCTCCATGAGACATGTTCTCCAATCCTCGACCATTGAGAGAGATGTCCTCAGAACGCAGAAGGAACGCGGCCCCAATGCCAATAAACACAATGGAAGAAACAAACTCTTGCAGAGTCTTCCATGGCCAAGACAACGCTTCGAGCAAGGTGATTTTGCACCAGGGCGAAACCAAAGGAGTGGATTCGAGACCCTACAGCAAGTGAGTGGATTTTGGACATCCATGGACTTGTGGGCCAACTTCTAGCCCTGCAGACCAGAATCTCAAAGCCTCCTCAGCCTTGGCCTCCGCCTCTTTGCTCTCCTGGGTCAGGGTTGGTGGAACGCAAAACCACGTCACATGTCCACCCCTTGGTTGCCTGAAGTAACTGCAGTATATAATATAACCATCGAAATTCCCTAACTTCGAGCAAGGGCATCTGGTAAACATGCGACCCACCATCTCGACAGAAACACCCAGGGACCCTTCCGACCTCCTCGTCATTGTGCCTCTCCGCTTGCGTGAGCAACGCCCGCGCCTGCGCCTCCGACATTGCCTTGGAGGTGGGCGGACGAAGAGTCCAATGAATTTTGGATTTGTTTTAGCCCGCTCCTACATAATGAAGTAGGCGCCTACTTAATGAAGTAAGGGACAAACTTGTTCGCTCCTAGCTACTTAAGCTACTACATGTGGACGCCGGGTAGCTCACGCTTGTTCAAGCAAGCTCCCCCCGGCTGAGGGCAGCAGAAGCTTCCTTGAAGAAGCGCTCGCACTACTGATTTGGATCCTAGATTTTGGGGGAACTTCACTATGGACAAACCTGTGGCATGCGACCTTAGAGGTGCGGGATCTGTGCGCAAGTGAGGGAGGAAAATGATACCTGATACAACGACTGACAGTGTGCAGCATGCAAGCGCATGCAAGCTTGGTGCCAGAGCAACACTAGTTCTTACTTAGGTTTCTCAACATCCCTTGGAAAAAGAGTTGTGAGTCCAGTTGTGGGGAAAACGTTGAGAATTGTACTGACCCTGGGAATTTCAATCCTATGACCCACTCTTGAGGCAAATATATATATAATGCTTTGTCTGAAATCTACGGAATTTGAAAAGGAAAAGGGTTGGAGATGCGGTCGCGGGTACTCGTTGGTTTTCGGTACTGACCGTAGATGAGTTTAAACATACCTCAAAGACCCTTCATGGTTGAAAACAATAAAACAGCTGGTTATAAGTTACAATTCATGTTTTATAGATATATATATATATACAGACATTCAGCTTTCATATTCAGCTTTCATGCAAACAGCAACACGCTGCGGTTGTCACACAGTTCAAAATGACCCCAAACCCAGGGTGCGCTAGTTACCGTCATCGTCTTCTTCGGGCTGATGGACAGAACCTGATGCCCCACCACATCCATTGGGCCCCTGTTTGGATGGGGCCCCTGTCACCACGAGTCTCCAGGCAAGGCACCGTGTTTTGCAACACACGTAGACGACGGCGCGGAGGCTTCGGAAAAAGAAATGCAAACTGATGTCTTTTATTTCGCTGAAGGGCTGAAGGAGGGCTGAAGAGTCAAGGTGTCATAGTTCTTTTTGGCGATCTTGACTGATGAATGTCACCCTCTGGTGCCAAGTTGATTCAGCCTAACACATCCCATGGGGTCCAAAACACATGGAAGTTAAGTGCCATGGGTTGTTGCAATGGGACATCAAAGTTTCACGAAAAACATAAATACATTCTGGAACCAAAAACCGCATAAAACAAGAAAGCAGCGCAAAGAGTAGGTTTTTGGAATCTTCGCACCGGCTCCTCTCCATGGGTCTTTTACAGCGTCTCAAGTTGGCGTGCTGAAGGTAGGTGAACTCCATATTGTATACTGTTCATTGTCAGACCTCCATGTGGCCGCGTGTCCCCAAGATGTCCCCATCGAAACTCTAATCACCTCTCACAACTCGCGGCCGAACGCTCATGGCCCTGAGCGTATTCAAACAGGTCATGCGTGGCTCTGGTGACTCCATAGCAAATCGTCATGATGGTCTGCTTCACCACCTGCGTGCGTTTTTCTGCGCGAGGACGGGACAAAAAGGTGTTTCGAGGAAAAGGGCAAACTGGAGCAGAGGAAGAAGAGAAAATTGCACAAATGTATGAATTTGTTCGGTACGGTACAGAACTAAAATTGTGTCATTCCCTGCTCGTTTGCTCGCTCTATAACCCTGCAAAAAGAACAAGTTGCGCTGTGTACGGTAGGTTTTATCGTCACCCATGATGTCTATATACTGCTTGTCCTGCTGCGTTGCTGAACACCAAGTACCAACAGAACAGGAGTCTCAGTCTCCCATGTTCCCACATATCAGATTGTGTCCATTCAGTCTATCAAAAAAAAACAAAACTATTGTAGCATGCCAGAAATCACACCTTCGCGCCAAAACGCCATCAAACCTGGTGACCCAGCAAATTATGTAGACAATAGATCGTGGCCACCCAAGTATAAAAGTAATTAAGGCTCGAGTTTTGAAAAGGATTGTCTTTGGGATTTGTGCAAACCGTTTTGAGCAGTCCACAAACCCTTTCACTGCAAACCCCCACGCGCAAACCGTTGCAAGCAAGTTCAGCTCGCTCGAGCCCACTCAGGGAAACAGAAGGGAGACAAGAAGGGACACAAGAAGGGAGACAAGAAGGGAGACAAGGCGGACACAATGACCAACAAGAAGGGGCACAAAAGGAAACAGAATGGAGACAAGACGGACACAGTGACCAACAACAAGGGGGACAAGACCAGAGACAAAAAGAAACAGAAAGAAGACAACACGGACAACAAGGAGGGAGACAAAAGGAAACAGAAGGGAGACAAGACCCGAGACAAAGGGAGACAGAGGGGACGAGGCGGACACAATGACCAACAAGAGGGAGACAAAAAGGAGACAAAAGATAACAGAAGGGAGACAAGACGGACACAATGATCAACAAGAAGGGAGACAACAAGGGAGACAAAAGGAAACAGAAGGGAGACAAGACGGACACAATGACCCACAAGAAGGGAGACAAGACCGGAGACAAAGAAAGAATGAAGGGAGACAAGGCGGACACAGTGACCAACAAGAAGGGGGACACAGTGACCAACAAGAAGGGAGACCAAGGGAGACAAGCCGGACGGAAGGCAGACACGCTGTCCGGCAGCAAGGCGGACACTTTTGGAAAGCATTTAGAACCCCTAACAGTACAGTAACCTGTTTGGGGACAAATATGAATAGAAATGCTGGAGAGGGGAGAAAAGGGCGGATGCCAGCAGTGCAGGCACCGAACCTGGAAAACAAAAGTAAACAAGCCACATGGGAAACAAATGAATAGAAATGCTGCATGGCCAGCGGAAAAGGGCCGACACCACCAGTGACAGACCTGGGAGACAAGTGAATAGAAATGTTGCAAATGAATAGAAATGCTAGATGGCCAGCGGAAAAGGGCGGACACCAGCAGTGACACAAAGGGCGGACACATCTTAAGAAAGAATTGAGAACCCCTAACAGTAAACTGTTTGGGGAAAAAGCAACAATTCCAGCAAAAGAAAACACACGGAAACACAAAACTAAGTGGCCAGAAAACTGCCCCCAAACTCCGCCTGCCTAAAACAAAGAAGCATGCACCTCTGCCTTTCCGCTTTGAAACAAGCATCTGGTGGTGGTCGAATCCAACCCTTGGTGTTTTCATCCCCCTTCATTGTTAGTTTTTAGACGCATTTTGTGAACTTTGGGTCCTATAAAATGCCTAGAGGGTTGATTTTCTATAAAATACCAAATTGAGCAAAAAGCATCCAAACTATAAAATGGGGAAGGTGGATTCTGAACATTGAGCAGTAAAAAATTCAAAAAAAAGCAAGCCTATATGATGCCCATGATGGGTTCACCATAGAAAATATATAAAAAATAACTCTGTCTATATAATGCAACGCGTGGGCGCAAGCACAAAAAAAGGCGAACGGCAAGCCACAATTTCCAAAACTAAATATGTCCAAGACAAAAGTCGCAACACATTTCTTCTCATGGCCAGCGAATTTACTGTAAGTGGTTCGTTACACCCTCACAGGCATTCATCACAAGCCTGCCCCTTGGGCTGCCGGTTGGCATATGGATGATGTATGATGATGCCATCCCACAGGCTTTCTGGCGCTTGCCCTTTTAAATTAGACACACTAGAAAACCCATACATCAAGCAACGATGGCACTATATAATGTCTCAAGCCCTCACACTTTTTTCACCTGTCGCCAAGTCTGGATGGTTCTCTTTGAAGGTGAGCTGGGTGACAAAGCAAGCTTACCAACAACTCCATGCAATGCCAGGGCCGGGAGAGGCGGGTGCGCTTGAGAACGTGAAGGACAATCGACATTAAAACGGCAATGTCTCAAGCCCTCACACTTTTTTCACCTGTCGCCAAGTCTGGCTGGTTCTCTTTGAAGGTGAGCTGGATGACAAAGCAAGCTTACCAACAACTCCATCTTTCCAGACCTCCCCTCTTCACCACAGCCGCGGCCATGCCCTTGGTGGTATGTGGGCATCTAAAAAGAAAATGGCTCCCTCCAGCACTTTTGGAGACACTCCAGCAAGCTCAGCGATGCGGCTATACGTCCATGGTGACATCTTCTGCTGAAAGATCAACACTGCAGCTTCCTGGATGCAAATCTCCAAAACTCTGGATGAAAGCCACCTTCCTCTTCTCCTCACCAACTGGCTGTCCTCCGTCTGTTGGAGGAGAAAGGTCGCTCCGCCAGTAAGGCCAAGTCGTAAGGCGAGCTGTTGGGCAACCTTTGAACCTCAGAGCGTGACGAAGCGTCGCCTCAAAGATGTCGGCGACCAAGGCCACAGAGGCGCAGCTGCGTCAAGCTTCCTGAAGACAGCGGGGACCAGGGAAACGACATCCTGGTAGTAGATCCTTGAGGCCACATCCCTAGGCTCCTGGATCATCAACGGGTCCCAGTGGTGCCTGGAGCGGCGTCACACAGGAGCGCCAAATCTCCCCTCTTGGCGGAGAAAATCTCCCCGATGCGCAGCAGGCTTCCTCGAGACCTGTCTTCAGGGCCTCTTTGCGCAAGCGGCATAGCGGGAACGCCCCACCGGCGCGCGCCCCCGAAATGGCTGCGGGCATTGGACCACTGTGGTTTACCATAACAAACCAAGTCTTGGGGGGAGGTGTCCGATGATGCGCAGAGGGCAAGAAGTCCAATGAAAATCCACAAGACAGATCCTCGTGCCCGAAGACATGAAAGTCCAAGGAAGGCCCAGAAAAGACAGGCTAGGCCAAAATCCATTGAGGTCCAAAGGTAAGAGAAAAGCCCACACAGATTGGTGGTGAGGATGTGCAGACTGAGGGCAAAATGCTCCGTCGGCCTATCATGGGAAATCACCCCAAGATGGGGCCAAGCATCAGCACCAGGACAAAGCACGAAGGCCACTAGGATATAGAGCCGCAACCATCCAGCAACCGGCCTTGAGAACTGATGAGAGTGCAAGGTCGCAACTTGGGCATCAGAAAGGAAGTCCAAAATGGAGCCATCTGATGGCGTAGGTAGTTCTCGATCACGAGAGGGAGCATCAGCTGTGTTCAGCCTGGTTGGTGCAAAGCCAAAGCCAGGATGAAGGTTTGCTGCTACCGTAACTGCACAAGCCTTTCTCAACGACCTCTGAAGCGAGATGGCTGAAGACCTGCCCTTAGCATGCGCCCCCTTAGCCACTCTGCTGTCCAGAAGCGCCACAAACCTCTTGCCTCCTCCTCTTTGCGCCAACCGATGCAGGAGCCCCAAATAGGCATGGCTCTCCAAAACATTGATATGACTTGGGGTCTTCCAGCTCCAAGCGAAAATTGTGCTCCACTTCCCAGCTTGTAGGAGATCATTGATCACCACTGATTCAAGACCTTTCTTGCTCGCCTCGTCCTGGAGAGAGGCGGCATCGAGAGCAGCAAGGATCTGACAAGCTAAGTGCTTTACGACTCCTGGAGCATATATGGCGCTTTGCTTAGTGTAGGCACCCTCAACTCTCACATGGGGATGTCCACCAGAGCACTTTACTTGGAAAGATGCAGTGTCAAAGCCATGAACAAGGAAACGGAACTCCTTTCGGTGGATGCTCCCAAACATGCAGCTTGCAACAACTGCTTCTTCCAGGCCCAATGAGAGAAGCCATCTCCAAGCACTGAGCCACGCCATCTTGCTCAACCTCGGCTGCTACAAAAAGGCTGGAGTGCCAACCCGAAAGCACATCAACATAATGGTCAAGCACCGTAGAGCAAGCGTCGTGCCAATCAATGTGTGCCTCTCCTTCCGGTCGAAGCCCAAAGGGTTCTCGTAGGATCGTGAGGCTGGATGTTGAGCTGGAGAGAACGTAGTGCAGGGTGGTTCACATCCGACTGCTTTAAACCGCTTCTCCTGGATCATCTGTAGGATCCAATCTAGCAACTTCACACTTGTGAGTTCATAGTGCTTGCTAGCTGTGAGGTCAATGGGCGAGCACACTCGTAGTCCTTGATGCGCCAGCTCTTCAGACAGAAC